TCCAAAAGACTACAACATATGGGCCAATCGCGGTCATCCATGCTTTTATAAGAACGAAATGGCGCTTTTAGTGACATTTTGCATACAAATCCCCATCTAGTAGGGCGCAGTCACCCAGTTTCGGTGGAAGTGCGCGAGTTCGATTGGGATTCAAGTAGGAAGGGAGCGTCTCAGCTTCCTCGGACCACGACCATTCGACTCAGCACCCCGAAGACTACAACTGGTGAAATTTTAATTTTTGCCTTAACTTCCCCTTTAAAGCAAAAACAACCCAACGATCACTAATCAACCATACCTATGCTGCTCCAGACTACATCACAGCGGTTACCGTACGTGCACTTGACGAACTCGGCCTGTGTGAGCGCGCACCAGACAGTTGTTAGTAGGGCTGCAACGGGTAGGGGTTTAGCCGGCTAACGAGTTCGGGTATTTCTACCCGGGTAGCACGGGTGCCCTATCGGGTATTTGTTTGACATAGTTTGTACAGTGAGTGTGCACTTGCACTACATAGAAAGTGTACAGTAAGCATGAAGCCGTGCTTTTTTACATGCACCGTTGCAAAAACACTGTACTCCAACTACCCTATCGGGTTCTCAGCAGCAAGCTGCTACCCGAATACCCGCTCGAATTACGGGTAGCATGGGTACCCCCACAGTCACACTGTGCATCTACTGCTTACACAGTTGCATAATGCCGTTTATTTATTTATTTTTTTAAATTTTACTATTATTATTTTTTTCGGCAACGCAGATGATGATGATGATGATGATGATGATGATGATGATGATGGGTACCCTACTACTGGGTGACACCCCTAGTTATTAATAGTAGCAAGAGTATATAACCCCCCAAGAGTGTGCAACTCCTGATACCCTTTCTATGGGGTATGCCGACGGCGAAAACTCACATCACGTGGTGCAGTGTCGCAGTTGTACGTTTCCAGCCCGTTTTTAGCGAGCAGCGGAGTAACAAAAAAAAACCCACTCTCTGACAGAAACTCACTGCGGGTATGCACATCCCCAGCATGATCATAGCAGATATTCGGATTACGCGCATGCTATCCTTCGTTTGTACGAGCCCGCTCGCGACAAAAGGGTCACTTTGGCTTCCGTGACACTTCGGAGAAAATCGCGTACAAAGTTTGAAGTGGGGAAAATCCCGTTTTTTGAGAATGCGTCATCATTTGTGTGTTCCTACGCGGAGCTGTTGCGCAACATCGGTTTTACATCACCGGTTGCGCGTGCGCCTTGGTGACAGCTTCATGCAGCAGTTTATTTGAGCAAAATCCGTCAAGGGATCTCAGTTTTCTTATTGTTTGAAGTTGAGGAAGAAGTTTGATTTTTCGACGTAGTGTGGTTCGCGAGCGCTGTCAGCTGTTTCTTGACGTCGACTTGTTGTTTGCCTGTTGCGGACGAACAATGAGCCGTCCAAATTATTTTACAACTGATGCAGCGCTTGCCGCTGTCCTCGCTGAAGCTGTAGACGAATTCTGTGGACGGGAAAGCGACCAGGCGCACGCCAGCGCCCCTGCCACGGAGAATGTTGTTTCTTCGGATGATGAGGAGAGCGAAGGCGTCCCTGATCACTTCTTGGATGATGAACTGGACATAGCTTGTGCTGCTGCGCAGTTCAACGCTTTGGCTGTTGACGATGCAGATGAGGCAATGGCAGAGGACGCAACAGAGGCTGTTGATGAGGAAGGCACTGATGCACATGATGATGTTGAGGCTGCTACTGCTGCTGGAAATCCTGGCAATGTGTGTGGCTGGTCCGGGAATTGTCTTTAGAAATTTGCGAATGGACAAGTGGAACAAACCCAGATGGCAATGGCAGAGATGGAAAAAGGAGATGCAGACATGCTGTTGATTGGCATCCTGGAGTCATCTAAATTCAACCAGGACACATCCACCAAGCAGAAGAAGCGGAAGTATGTTGCGTTCGGCTACACTTAACTTGGACGGCATGTGTGTGTGAAGGCGTTCCGTACCATTTACGGAGTGGGAACAAAACGCCTCCGCAACCTTATCGGCCACATAAAGGAGCACAATCCAGTGCCCAGACAACATGGGAACACGGGGAGAAGGCCAGTGCATGCCTTGCGCTCCGAGCAGGTAGAAGGAGTGGTAAGCTCAACAAATCCCTCAGTGAGCAGTTTGGCATCCCTCGTCCTGCGCCTCTGCATGGCCGAAGTGCGCGGCCGCCGGTGTATCTTCCAGCACGCATGTCGTACACCAGCACCCACCAAGAGTACCTGCAGGCATCTGGTGAGGCTCATGCGAAGCCTGTCGGGCTCACCAGCTACCGTGAGATTTGGTCGCAGTGTATGCCGCACATCCGGTTTATGACGCCCCGGACAGATGTCTAAGACAGGTGTGAGCAGTTCCGGAGGAGTGTGGTCAATGCGCTAGGGGAAGACGCCAAGCTAGAGGCATGCGCTCAGCTCTCGTCACATGTAGGTGAGGCACAGAAGGAACGAGATGTGTACAAAGAAGCCACAGTTGCTGCAAAGTCTGAGGTAGATGCATGCCTTGTACCAATTTCCCCGACATGCCTCCCTTGTAGCAATGACCTCCATTCTGTTCATTACACTTTTGATTTTGCTCAAAGTGTTGCTCTCCCTCACAATACTCGTCAAGTAGGTCCCCTGTATTTTAAGGTTCCACGTAAGGCCCCTTGCACACTACATAGAAAATCCCATTTTTGTTGCGTTCCTGTAAAAGTTACCATGCAAATGGTCTGCTTTTCGCGGGAAACCTAAAATGTTGCGCAAACGTATTCAGCAAACTCCAGACGGGTATACAAAGGCGTGTTTATGTTTTATTTGCATTTCTGGCCTGTACTTTGCTTTGCACCTGTCCTTCCGTGAGACTTCTTGACTCTTGTCGTCAGCCCTTTTTTCCTTTCGATTTGCTCCTTGTTTTGAGTAGTTGCACGTTGTTTGTTTCCTTCTGTCGCGTTGAAGCTAGTTCGAGAAGATGAAGTTCAGCATGGCGAAAGTTGTGTTCAATGATGAGATGGAGGGGAAGTTGATCGAGCTGTGGGCACACTACCAGCGGGTGAAAAGTAGAACGATGAAGAAGAGGTCACAGAAGGAGAAAGAGATCACTGAAGACCTCAATCTGTATGCTAGGAGTGTTGGCCTGGACATGGCATTCGATGGGGAGTCGCAGATCCATGTCGAAGTGATAGCATTTCACCAACACTCGACAAACATTTCTGCAGACCAAGCTCGGAGAGAAAAGTTTAAATTTTTAAAACTTCCCACACTATCTCCATGCAGCACCGGTGAGGCGGCAGTTGCCATAAAAAAATTTATGAGTATTTTATTAAAACGAAAATGTCTTTTCAAGTGTGCAATGGAACTGATCGGGACTTGCTTGAAAGTGACGCATACGCTAAAAAGCAACTTTTTACTTGTACGTAGTGTGCAAGGGGCCTACAGCTCATATATTTGGTGTAAATAATGAAGCCCTCCCCCGTCAAGGCAACTATTTGCTTGACGAATGTGACACCATTGGTGCAGATGGCAAGAAGGGCCATGGCTCCAATACTGTTGCCTAGTGTTGGCTCGCTGCTTCACTACTTTGAGACGTACGACTATGGTGAGAAAAGCTGTGTGCTGACTGCTGATAACTGCGGTGGACAAAATAAGAACAGGACTATTGTCGGCTATTTGGCATGGCGATGCGTTGTAGGCTTGCATTGCCACATCACGTATAGCTTCATGCTGGCTGGCCACACGCGGTGTTTAGTGGATGGCTGCTTTGGCCTGCTCAAGCAAAGATTCGGCCGGAGTGACTGCTACTCCATGGCACATCACCTGGTCACCGTGCCTGCACGCTAAAGGTCTTTTAGATCGCAATCATAACACACACACAGCCGTGATCGTGACTCACCATTTCCTTGGCGGCGGGGCCTTGTGTTGTCGTCTCAAAGAACAGCATGTCGTTGGCTTCGGCAAACTGCTGTCCAAGCCGCGTGGTCACTTCGCGGCGATCGACTTCGTCGCATTTGTTTCCGACGAGCGCACAAATACGTACACCGGCGTCGGTATGACGCCGTGCCTCGTCCAGCCAGGACTGACAATGTCTGAATAGTAACAACAATATTCCAAGATTCACATAAGAGAGTTTTAGCAACTCGCAAACGAGTACGAGTCCGCGGTCAACTCGGAGGAGTCCATCGATCTCTAGAGGTCGATTCAAACACGCACGGACGGTAAATGGTTAACAGTAGCCGTCATTTGTTATGTTACAAAACATCTGCCAAATCTGGTCACAGTAAAGATCTTACCGAAAGGATGCCATGCTGGTAATATCATACATGACAATCATGGCGTGTGCATCGCGGTAGTAGCGTGTTGTCATCGACTGCCTGAAGCGCTCTTGACCAGCCGTGTCCCACAGCTGAAGCTGCACACGATCACACAATGGCAGGGAAAGCAGGGAGACGGAGGATGAGAGGGCGAGAAAACAAGAGAGAGAGAGAGAGAGAGAGAGAGAGAGAGAGAGAGAGAGAGAGAGAGAGAGAGAGAGAGAGAGAAGGAAGGGAGATACGCACACACACACACACGCACCCTTGAAGAATTTTTCTGTACCAGCCAAGTGGATCCAAAGTCAGCGTTTATCATGAAAATGTGCCGGCTGTGTCGTAGCACTTTCAAGCCCAACTGGTTTGGAAGTATTGGATAATACGTAGTACTGTGATGCCGGTCATGCCTTTCACGGCAGTCACTACTTGTAATAGCGGTCATACAGTCGCAAATTATTTGATACCAGTCACACAGTTACAAGTCCTCTAATGCCAGCCACCATTAGTCGCACATGAGTACCAGCAAGAGTAGATAAACAAGAGTGTGCAACTCCAGGATGGGTTGGCCCATGGCGGAATTTTTTGTTGACGTAATCTTTTCTACGACGAACACGCTGTATGTCACTGCACTGGGTGCGTTTGATTACTGCCATCGAGAGAAGATAAACAAGAGTGTGCAACTCCCGGATGGGTTGGCCCACGGCGGAATTTTTTGTTGACGTAATCTTTTCTACGGCCCACACGCTGCGAGTCTTTTGGAAAGTTTTGCCTCGTGCACTTGGCCGGGCTTTACATTAGAAGGTCGGTGCCCAGCACGTGCTCTCACACTGCTCTGCGGCAAGATGCGCGTTTTTCTGAAAAAAGGTGATATCAACAAACAATTCCGCAGCGGGCGGGGGTATCTGCAGATTGTGCAGGAGAGATCCGGAGTTGCACACTCTTGTTTATCTACTCTTGCTGCCACGAATCGATTCATGAATGGAATCTCATCGTTCGATTTCATGTCATTAACCCTGGAATCGGTTCGGAATCCATTTTCCTTATTCACATCGGGTGATGTGAATAGCCAGGGGCGGTTCATGAATGGATTCAACATCGATTCGTGCGCAAAATCGAACGTACTCACTAATCAGGATTAGAATATCATGTGTACGTCAAGAGAATGTGGTCACGTGACGTACTGGAACTGGACAAAGAGGACCATCCGGCCAAGGTGAGCACACTTTTACCTGTCCCTTGAATGGTCATTTTCAAAAAAACAGGTTTCACTTTACAGCAATGTACATTGTACTCATGCTACTGCCATGGTACGTGTTCCATAGTCATTGTAATTAATTTTGTAAGTCACAGTAGAGATAACACATGAGCTACCTATGCGCCATGACTGTGCTCATTGTGCTGTGTGTATTTACACGTACACTGCACTGTCATCTGACACATGTCACGCACAGGTGCTGTTTGATACTATTACACACCTTCATGACAACACAGGGTTCACATACTGATCAACGCAAATATTCTACAAAGAAACACACCAAAAAAACTCACTTTTATAATCTCCCTCTCCACGACAACCTTCTTCTCCCGAAAGTCCACCCCTATCGTGGCTTCGGGTGCTGATGGACATGCTCCGTCAGCAAACATGCACGACAGGCAGGTTTTGCCGACGCCTGACGAGCCGATGACGATTAATTTGTAGGCGCGATGCTCCTTGATGTGTTGCTTGCTGGACGAAACTGCCGCCACTCGAACACTGCGGGACGAGCCTGCGCGAGATCTTTCACCGTCCTTCGCCGACATCTGGCGAGCATCGGTGCAGTCACTCCATCCAAGTAACTAGTTCTTGTTCCGTGCCGACTACAGTTTCTGCCTACACTGATGAATTTTTGGTTCGAATCACATGCATTTCCCAAGCGTCAGGAAGGAATCGCTGTTTTATTCCATTCGCGCTCAGGCGCAGGTTTCTGATCCGAACAACATGCAGCAGTTCTCACAGTCCCAGCCAGCCTGGTTTCTCTACCATAGTCGCATACCAGGCGGAAGAAGGTAAAGTGAAGCTGCACATCGAAGCAATAAATTATATTTTGAACGAAGTGCAGAACATCGGTCCTCACTTGAGATGCTTGAAATTTTGAAGCGCGAGATTTCGAGCGTTCCACGCGGCGCCCACGGACCCAAATCGCGAAATGTGATGTCCGCGCGATATCCGGTGCGGGTTATGCCAAAATCGACATCCTAAACCGTATATGGTCTCCAAACCCACGCATTCGCGTTTTACTCCAGTGAATATGCATGCATGTAGTGCATGCATGCATGTAGTGCATGCATGCATGCGCGCAGTCTAGCTAGCTAGCTGTGTGTCATCATGAGCGAGCACGTGGCAGTGTGGTGCTCGGTTTCCATGGTCACCGCGTTACGCAACTGCTTTAGCTCAAAAAATATCCGGGTTTTGTTTCTTCTACAGAAAAGTAACAATTTTCCAGTGAGAGAAGCCCGTTCAGCGTTGTTCTTGTTGATCTTCAGTAGGTGTTGTTCGAACCACAAGTCCACGATGGTGTTGTGAGGCCGCATGTGCCGGGAAGTGTAGGTGAAGGCAGCAAGCCCGGAATTGGCGACAATCCAATATGCTCCGCTCACTCCAGTCCCGCGGTACGGTGTTTGGACGCGCACCACGCGTGCTCGGTTCCTGCAGGAGATGCTCGAACAATTCACCTGACGATGAAGTTGTTCTCAAGGTGAGCACGAAGAACGGTGTGTTCCATGGTGCATCTGTGTGTCTTCTTGGCGGCTAGGACAAAAGAATATTCCTCCATACAGTACATGACAGAATCTCGTGTACAGTCGCGAGTCGTACCGAATTTTAGTTGTACAAGGTGAATAGCAATTTCTGGACATAAAAAATAAAATAGAGCCCCACTGGCTGTATGTTTCACATTTTTCATATCTTTTTGTATTTCTTGTATAGCCTGATCCTTCATCTTTCCAAATATGTGACAATTGCTCATGCTGTGATCCCAGAGACTTGATCGCAGGACGTTTCTGACAGGCTATTTTTTGGCCTAAATTTCAGTGTATGGAATTCTGGACATGAAAATAAAATAGCGTCAATAGGCATCCTATAGTGCACCATTTTGCTACAGTATCCCAGTATTTTTCTATTGGTGGACTGCAGTTAGCCTCTTCACACTTCCAGCCACCAGTTCCAAGACTATACATCGCCACGCAAAGTGGTCATTGGCTACCCCAGCCATGTATTGCTTGGAATAAAATAAATAAATACAGCATCTGAAGTGCAGTGCACATGGCAAAGCCAACGATTCGTCCATTGCTTCTTATTTTACTCAAAATTCACAATTCTCATGTGACATCGTACCACAAAACTCGTCAAAGTGCCGCACAAGCAAAGGCTATCAACAAGGCACCAACACGAGGAGAAACTACAACAGCCCAGCTGTCAACTACGGCAACAAAAAACTTCATCAACTCGACTGACTTGACTCTACACCGGACGAAAAATTATTTTACTCGAAATGTCCAGAAATCGCAATTCACCTCGTACAGGTCCTCCGTCGTTAATACATTATCTCTGGGCCACCAAAAAAGTTATCTTATAGCCTACTCACACGACGAGTACTTGCACGATAATCGCGGTGACTTTTACGATCATCGTTGGGCTGGTGATTCACACGGCACGGCACACTTTCGTTCAATCGGCGAATTCCTATGTGGTGCCTATGGATACTGGCAAAAGAGTGGGAAATTTAAAATCTCCAGTCAGCCAGCGCTGAATCCCGGAAAATTTCCCTGGGCGCCAATTGATCTTGACGAACGTTACGTGCGTTGTAACTCACTCACCGTTCATCCGTTCGCTTCGGCGATCGATCGAGACGACAGCAGAGAGTTTTCTCTTCTTCCTACATATTTCGTTCTCTCCAACCAACTGAGAATTGACCAAGTTACGATAGTTTGAAAAAAAAGTATTTGAAAAGTGTAGAATTTATCGATCACCGGTGATCTATAAAAGTATGTGCCGTCACAGGAACAAAGACCAATTTTTTTCCGAAAAGCCAGAAAAGTTGCCACGATGAACGTGCCCGTGGCGGCCTCTTCGTTCACGTCCAAGATTGGGCTACGATTGACCACGTTTGACTATTTCAAAAATTATACCATAGAAACAAGCCTGTAATCGTGGATTTTCCCGTCGTGTGAATGGCCTGTTCGGGTGGCATTGATTGGCGAATCTGGTTTGAGTGCGAGCAGGCGGTGTGGTCCGAGCAACGCTGGCCCAGTCGAACACAGCAAGGGTGTAGTACGCAGAATGTACTCTAGGTACTATGTACAAACGAAGGATAGCGTGCGCGCAATCCGAATATCTGCCATAATCATGCTGGGGATTTGCATACCCGCAGTGAGTTTCTGTCAGAGAGTGTTTTTTTTTATTACTCCGCTGCTCGCTAAAAACGGGCTGGAAACGTACAACTGCGACACTGCACCACATGATGTGAGTTTTCGCCGTCGGCGTACCCCATAGAAAGGGTATCAGGAGTTGCACACTCTTGGGGGTTATATACTCTTGTTTGCATACATAGCGTGAGAGTTCATAGGTTTATGGGTAGGCACAACTGATTATAGTACTTAGTATGGTAAGTACAGGTAGATGAGGCTGTGCGAATCACATGCAGAAACAGGGTCGTGTAGTCACGCACACATCATACCAGGACCCACGCGTGTGTGTGTGTGTGTGTGTGTGTGTGCGTGTGTGCGTGTGTGTGTGTGTGTGCGCGCGCGCGTGTGTGCGTGTGTTACCCGGAAGCCTAATCGGTAGGGCACTGTCCCGGAAAGACAGGGGTGCTGGGTGTGAATCCCGCTCGTGGATCATTCTTTTGCAACATACTACACTAGTAAGGATGCCATAACGCTGACCTTCTTCTATGCTGGATTGTTTGCATTGCCCATGCGTGTACGTGTTTGCTGCAGGGCTGGGCAAAGAGTGTACGTCTCCACGGCAAGCTGGTGTTTGCACACATCTCAGACGGACTGTCACCGGAGCCCATGCAGGTCGTCATGCACAAGAAACTGCTTCCCAAAACCGGCGACGTGTAAGTCGGCGCGACTGCATGCGAAGCGGAGTGCTAACGGCATGCCTATCATCAAGAGTATATATTATATTAATCTCCCAAGAATATGCAACTTCTGATGCCCTTTCTGTGGGGTTCGCTTGCGGCGAAAACTTGAAATTTTACATCACGTGGCGTAGTGTTCCTATTGTGCGGTTCCAGCCCGGGTTAGAGAGCAGCGGAGTAATAACAAAGCACTCCCTGACAGAAACTGTTCTAGCCAGTGTTAGAGAGCAGCGAAGTAATAACAAAGCACTCCCTGACAGAAACTCACCGCGCGTATGCAACTCGCCAGCATGATCATGACAGATATTCGAATTGCGCGCACGCTATCCTTCGTCGTACGCTGTAAGAAACGTAACTGAGACTTGTGATGTGAGCTTTTGCCGTCAGAGACCCCATAATTATGCAGAGTTACTCACTCTTGGGAGCTTATTTACTCTTGCTTTCGGGACTAACAACTGCACGAGTACGTAGCCCGCAGGAGTGGTCGGCTTCCCGTACAACCTCTATCCAGTGCTGCCGTGATGGCAGAGTTTCAATTTCACGCGCGATGGTTGAATAGGCCACACTGGCAAATAGTGCAAGTGCCCACTGAGCAGCAGAGAGTGGAGCCCGAAGCACAGTTGCATGCTATCCTGTACAGTGAAACAGCTGTCTAAGACGACCGCCGCTCCAGGCACCTTCCAAACCTGGTCTCTGTATAAACCAGGTGGTCTCCTTATCCAGGGTCATTTGACTGGAAATAGCATTCCATGGTCCTGGTTTCAGCGGTCTTCTAGGACAGGTGGTTGCCTTATCCGAGTGGTCACCTTGACAGGTTTTACTGTATTTATCATGCACATGGTGTGCCTACTGTATGTCTACAAATTTCCAGCGCCTTTAAATGGCCTCCCAGGGCCAAAAACCATTTCGGCCGCATTGTTTTGGCCTGTACTGCTGCTGCCTGTATACACGATCACACTAAACCTTGCAAAAAAACAAATTCGGCCAAAATTCCCAGGCCGAAAATAAATATGCGCCGAATCTGAAATTTTGTTGACTTACGATACTGATGTGAAGAATGCCAAGTTGATGTGTGTTCCGCGTGCTTTACCAGACCTCCCAGCTGTCCAGCTTCCTGAGCTCTGAGTTCGACTTGCTAAGCCATGCTGTTTTGTGTTGTGTGTGTGTGTGTGTGTGTGTGTGTGTGTGTGTGTGTGTGTTTGTGTGTGTGTGTGTGTGTTTGTGCGTGTGTGTGTGTGTGTGTGCACATATGTGTGTGTGTGTGCACATGTGTGTGTGTGTGTGTGTGTGTGTGTGTGTGTGTGTGTGTGTGTGTGTGTGCACGCATGTGTGTGTGTGTGTGCACGCATGTGTGTGTGTGCACGTGTGTGTGTGTGTGTGCATGCTTGTGGTTACTAGGTGGTCAAAGCTAAACACGCATATAAGCTTTGAAGTTGGCGGCAAGATTGTGGATAGCATAGGGCCTGACCAGGACAAGGAGATGAGTGCGAGTTCATTCAAAGCGCATGGTTTCTGCAAGTTGGATGTAAGTCAACCTGTGCGGGACCCAGTGCAATGAACAGGCCAGTGCTTTCTCTGTGTGAACTTGGGTGCTGTGCTGTGCTGTGCTTGGCTTTTCTTTGACAAACAAGATGGTGTTTCTGTAGTGTGGTGGTCGGTTTTACTTGAAAATCATGTTGATTTTCTCTTTCGATGTGCACTCTTTGTGTGTGTGTGTGTGTGTTTGTGTGTGTGTTGTGTGTGTGTGTGTGTGTGTGTGTGTGTGTGTGTGTGTGTGTGTGTGTGTGTGTGTCTGTGCATGCATGTGCATGCATGCTTCTGGGTTTGATTGTGTTGATGCAATCAATTCAGGACATGCCGGTAAGTATCATGACCCGCAATCAACCGTTGCACCAGCTCCCTTCTCACCTGCGAGCCAAGGACTTTCGCTTTCAGGCAGTCTTGCGCATGCGACACCACGCCCGCCGATCTGCACAGAAGTTCTTTGATGTAAGTCCACTAGTTTGTCAGGACTACACTACTGTTGGTCGCCGAAGAACTGGGGGGGGGTCAGCCTCCTAGCCTAGACCGTTCTTATTTTCACGTGTTACAGCCTGTGCACAGTTGAGTCACTGTGTATACGTTGGTATGCTGTGCTTGGTGAAATCCTATCCTGGTCGCTCTTCGGCGCTACCCGACAGTACTGTATATTTAAAAGTCCTGTTCACTGCCTGTAGTGTTGTGCACTTGTTCAGCGTCGGGTGCGCGGTGGTGGGTTGCATTTGTTCCCATGGCGATAAGTATGTCAATGACTGGATTACTGTATCTCACCAGAGTAACCACCGTGTCATTTTCTTCATTTTTTGGAGGCGCTCCTGCAGCCACTATCCCTCCCTGATGCCGTCCCAAGGGGAAATGTTGGAGATAATTTTGGAATTGCAGCCGCTGAGGCTGGACGGGTAGTTTTGCAGTAGCGTTGGTGGTGGTAGTGTGGTTAACCCTTTGAGGGTCCATCGTTCGAATTCGAACGATGTGTAGTGCGTACCGCAAAACTGCCGTAACTCCATTGTTTTTAGTCCTGTTGCAAATATCGAAATATGTAGATCGAAGAGAAAGCTCCAAGCTTTCCAATGGTGTAATCGCTTTTGCGATAGGAGAAACGATGATAACGATATGGCGCTCGAAAGTTGGATCGCGGCACTAATTTGTTCAAACTGCTCAAAATCAATTGTTTTACCGCGTGCTTCGGGGATTTCCCGTGGATGGCGTGGTGTGCAGCCAGCTCATGGCGTGTGGCCCTAATGACGTAGAATCTACTTATTGAGATTCAAAAAATCCAGAGCTGTGCGAGAAACGCCTGCGAAATGGCCTTGGGACGAAATTTAGAAGTATTTCTTTCACCACGAGGCCCGACCTTTGGAGATTTACTGCGCTCTGGAGCGGGCTTTGTGGCAACCATGGAGTTGAGCGTGGCCTCATTCTCTTGGCAGCGGAACGAGCATTTCAAAGAGCCCTAGATTGTCAAAATCAAGCAAACAGAACGCAAGTTATGGTGGAGTGAACTACAATTGCATATTTTCACCCGAACGATGGACCCTCAAAGGGTTAAATGATGATCAACCTGGCATGCATCCTAAATCGAACCAAAAGTGCGTGTGTGTGTGTGGGGGGGGGGGGGGGGCTGGAAGGTTAATTCGACTTACATCTGGGATATTGCATGAAAAATCTATAAAAAGAAGAAGAGAAAAGTAAAGCGTATCTGTGCTGCAGCAACCTTGATTCTACATGCGCACTGTGCACCATTCTGGTAGAGTATTGGTGGAATGCAAACTGACAGCGGTTGCGCTATTATATTTTGTACAACAGCCAAGCATCTAGGCACGAGTGTGTCTCCGATACCAATGGGTGATTGAAAGGCTACCACTAATGCAGTACAAGCCGGGAAAGTTAAAACTAACTTCAAAGAAGGGCTCAGCTGTAACTGGTTAAGTTTGGTACTTCTATGCTTCCTGCTTCCAACTAGCTCTGTCTCTCTTTCTCTCTCCATCTCTCCATCTCTGTGTGCATGTCGTGTTGCATAGTGTTGTAATCAATATCTCTGATTGGTTTATCCCTGTCTATGCTCCCGATAGGATCGTAATTTTATCTACATTGACACACCGACCCTGACTCCCAATGACTGTGAAGGCGGTGGTCAAGTCTTCCAAGTAGAGGTGGGTAATGCACTGCCTCTCTCTCTCTCGCTCGCTCTCTTTCTCTCTCTCTCTCTCTCTCTCTCTCTCTCTCTCTCTCTCTCTCTCTCTCTCTCTCTTTCTTTCTCTTCTTTCTCTCCCCCTGTCCCTGTTCCCAGACACATATTGCGTGTGGGTGCAGGCAGATCGTGTTATGGTGTGGAGTATCCCTACATGAAGTGCCCATCTTTCATCAACTATCTCTGTGTGAATTTAGCATTGGTGACGGTCTGTATGTGTGTGTGTGGGGGGGGGGGGGGGGGGGGTCATGTGTAGCAAGGACAGCAGTAGAAACCACCTTGCTGATCCAATGGAGTACACTGGACCTAGGGTAGCCGGGGCCAATCCTGGGCTAACCCTCAAGCTTGCTAAGTCCTGCCACTGCCAGTCTGTGTTGGTATTTGAGCATTTGCACCATGTACTGCCAGCCTTGGATCATATTCTTGTCGAGGCTGGGTGTTGTTGGAACCTGGTGCTTGAATGTGGACACAACACAAAACATGTCTACATCTACATGTACGTCCAGCTCCCTGCCCTTAGCCAGAGCGGGTCCCCTAGCTATCGATGGTGCCAGTTACTTGACCGCTTGCCACTCTGACAGCGGGGAGAGTGTGCGTGTGTTGACTCATTTGCTTTGTACGTCTGTGCACGTGTGTGTGCGTGTGTGTGCGTGTGTGTATGTGTGTGTTCGTGGGTGGTGTGGTGACTGCAACGCGTCTGATTCCCTGTCGTTGTTGTGCAGAGTGGCAGGCGGTCGTGGCTGGCACCTTGCCCCGGGACCCAGGCACCCTCGACCCGGGACCAAGCACCCAGATTGCGCCCGTTCCACCCATCAGTGGAGCCTCAAGACACGCCACCTCCAGCCCGGGGAGTGTCAGTGAAACCGCGCGCAACCCGCTTCTCAACTCAAACCACTACTGGACTGTCTCATTACCGTGTGACAACACCCAACCTGCACGGTCTGAAGCCTATGACGTCATCATTACATCATCAGATGAGCCGGCGCTTCTCCACTACAGCGTGCAAGCATCCAGCAGCAGTCACAGCAACAGAAGCGGTAGCCCCACCATTGGAACCGTCCGCAGCACATCGTTCTCGCAGTACACCAACACCACGACCACCACTGGATACATTGCTGCCGGGACATGGACATCGGGGTTTTGCCAAGCACCGTGCAAGAGACAGGAAATGCAGTGCAACTGCTGTTACCGCTATGCCGACACCCACTGCACACACGCCGTCAGCAATTCTCAGTGACAAGATGGATTCCTTCTCGTATGTTGTTGGAAAGGCCGTGCCCAGTTCGTTGTTAGCGGCACCGTTTGCTACAAGCAGAACTCAGTTACCGGTCATTGAAGACACAGATTCTGGAGGTAATGACGTTGATAATTTTGTCTCTTCCGCCCTGCTTTCATTGGAGGTCCAAGGCAACATGACACTCTCTCTCCGGCGTAAGATGCGTCGTTGGATGCAAGGTATGGCTAAGCAGGATCTCATGAAGCTGACGAAAGACGTGCCGGGAGAAACGTCTTCTTCCCTTGCTATTTTTGATAATTTTGTGTCAGCGGTCTTGCCTGTACTGGCTGGTCACTCCGATGTGCTGAATGAAATGAAAATGGAACTTCTTCGCTTGAAGTGGAAGCAACGGTTTTATGACCGTATGAAGCGCGCAAGCACCAGCACACCGTCAGCAACGGTTGATGTGCCTACGAATGCAGCTGATTACAAAGTGTTTGCGCTTCCCTTGGCCGCGCGATCTGTGCACGGTCGTGCATCTGTGCATCTGCCTCCGTCGGCCAGCAGCTCTGGCATGACAGCGTCAAGTGCTGGTGTTGTGCGTACGCCTGTTCCTGTCTCTAGCAGAGCTAGCGCTGGTGCTGTGCACACGCCTGTTCCTGTCTCTAGCAGAGCTAGCGCTGGTGCTGTGCACACGCCTGTTCCTGTCTCTAGCAGAGCTAGTGCTGGTGCTGTGCGCACGCCTGTTCCTGCCTCTAGCAGAGCTAGCGCTGGTGCTGTGCGCACGCCTGTTCCTGCCTCTAGCAGAGCTAGTGCTGGTGCTGTGCGCACGCCTGTTCCTGCCTCTAGCAGAGCTAATGCTGGTGTCATGCGCACGCCTGTTCCTGTCTCTAGCAGAGCTAGTGCTGGTGCTGTGCATACGCCTGTTCCTGCCTCTAGCAGGGCTAGTGCTGGTGCCGCTCGTCTGCATGTTGATAAGTCCTGCGTGACCTGGACAGCAGCAGCCATGTCGCCCTCTTTGACCGTGGTGGGAGCACGCCGCCCTGTGGCAACGCGACGCACTGATGAGGGCAATGGCAGTGCTCTGCTCGAGTTGACCTCTGCTCCAGCATGGACACCACCACCGCCAAGGAGATTGTCTGGCATTATGCCGAAGTACGATATTGGGACTGGTGTACGAGTATCGGCTAGACAGGACACGCCAGCTGCCTTGAATGAGTGCTACGTGGATAACTTTGTGTCTGCTGCCTTGCCGGAGTGTGCAGCTCACCCTCATCTACTCAAACGTCTTCATCGCAAGCTGTTTCAATGGAGGCTGCACCGGGCTGCTAAAGCAGCAGATCAGAGAGGCTGGGGGAACATTCACCCTTGTGCTCTGCCGCCAGCTGTTCCCGATAACATGAGTGCTGTTGGTCACAAACCTGACCATGCCGTTGCATTAGCTGCCCAAGCTACAGACCTCGTGCATCGTCAGCTAGCCGCGGTGCCTCTTACAGGTGCCGTGACTAATTGGCCTGCGGTTACTGATAGTCGATATGCTGCACCTGCTAGTCCATATAGTGCACCTGCTACTCGACATTCTGCACCTGCTGGCGGATATAGTGCATCTGCTAGTCGACATTCTGCACCTGCTGGCGGATATAGTGCACCTGCTAGTCGACATCCTGCACCTGCTAGCGGATATAGTGCATCTGCTACTCGACATGCTGCACCTGCTGGCGGATATACTTCACCTGCTACTCGACATGCTGCACCTGCTAGCGGATATAGTGCATCTGCTACTCGACATGCTGCACCTGCTAGCGGATATAGTGCACCTGGTACTCGACATGCTGCACCTGCTAGTCGACATGTTGCACCTGCTAGCGCATATAGTGCACCTGTTTCTCGACATATTGCACCTGCTAGCGGATATAGCGCACCTGCTAGTCCATATGGTGGTGCACCTGGCACACCTTATCCTATTAGTCAGCCGCCAGTTAGCCGTCCATATGTGGCGGCAAAGGCTAAGATCAGCATCCCACCTGCTTCTAGCAATGTGCAAGCCACCAACACATCAACTGCTAGAACAACTAATGCAACAACTGTGTTCGAGTGTGCTCCAAGCACTAATCTGCTGAAGAATTGCGAATCAAAGTCACCAACATGGAGCGCCTGGGCCAAATCCGTCCATGTGGGCACTATTGACCAAGGTGTTGATAACTTTGTCTCCACTGCTTTGTCCCAAGCTGCTGCAAGTCCTCGCCTACTGAAATCAGTCGCTGTGGAGTCCATTCGTAACAATCAAGAGAGCACTGTTTCTGTTTCCCTTTTGCCGAAGACATCCCAAATGAAGCCATCGACATCTCAGGCTTGGGCCAAGTCCGTCCACGTGGGCTCTATCGATCAAGACATTGATAACTTTGTGTCAACTGCGTTGTCCGAAGTTGCCGCACATCCACAATTGCTGAAATCCATTGATATGAAGTCCTTCCGTGATTCTTATAGCATTCAGGAGAGAGTTGTGTCTGATTCCAAATTGCCAACGGAGTCATCTGCACTTCAGACGTGGTCCAAATCTGTCCATGTGGGCACTATTGACCAAGATGTTGATAACTTTGTGTCTACTGCCTTGTCCCAAGCTGCTGCAAGTCCTCGCCTACTGAAATCAGTCGCTGTGGAGTCCATTCGTAGCAATCAAGAGAGCACTGTTTCTGCTTCTCGTTTGCCGAACACACCCCAAATGAAGCCATCAACATCTCAGGCATGGGCCAAGTCCGTCCACGTGGGCTCTATCGATCAAGACATTGATAACTTTGTGTCAACTGCGTTGTCCGAAGTTGCCGTACATCCACAATTGCTGAAATCCATTGATATGAAGTCCTTCCGTGATGCTTATAGCATTCAGGAGAGATTTTTGTCTGATTCTAAATTGCCAACGGAGTCATCTGCACTTCAGACGTGGTCCAAATCTGTCCATGTGGGCACTATTGACAAAGATGTTGATAACTTTGTGTCTACTGCCTTGTCCCAAGCTGCTGCAAGTCCTCGCCTACTGAAATCAGTTGATGTGGAGTCCAGTCATAGCAATCAAGAGAGCACTGTTTCTGCTTCTCGTTTGCCGAAGACATCCCAAATGAAGCCATCGACATCTCAGGCTTGGGCCAAGTCCGTCCACGTGGGCTCTATCGATCAAGACATTGATAACTTTGTGTCAACTGCGTTGTCCGAAGTTGCCGCACATCCACAATTGCTGAAATCCATTGATATGAAGTCCTTCCGTGATTCTTATAGCATTCAGGAGAGAGTTGTGTCTGATTCTAAATTGCCAACGGAGTCATCTGCACTTCAGACGTGGTCCAAATCTGTCCATGTGGGCACTATTGACCAAGATGTTGATAACTTTGTGTCTACTGCCTTGTCCCAAGCTGCTGCAAGTCCTCGCCTACTGAAATCAGTCGATGTGGAGTCCAGTCGTAGCAATCAAGAGAGCACTGTTTCTGCTTCTCGTTTGCCGAAGACATCCCAAATGAAGCCATCGACATCTCAGGCTTGGGCCAAGTCCGTCCACGTGGGCTCTATAGATCAAGACATTGATAACTTTGTGTCAACCGCGTTGTCCGAAGTTGCTGCACATCCACAATTGCTGAAATCCATCAAGACACAGTCACTTGGTCTTGGGATGGGCAACACCACCACAGCAGCAGCAGTAGCAGCAGAAACAGCAGGGATTGCGATATCAAAGCGGCAAGGTTTGGACGGTAGGAAGCAGATCCATCCCAGTGCCGATTCTGCAGGTGCTGTTGGAACCGCCCAGGCTGACAGTGCTCGCGTTGAAGAGATCAAGCGTGTGCAGGGTACAACATTTGTTTCGAGTGATGTTGTTCACCTTGGCGAGGTGTTGGGTTTGTCCGCACCTGCGCCCAAAACTGTCTCCAAGGCCCGCCGTACGCGTTCCTCGAAAGTTGAACAGGCCGAGAGTGTGCTAGGTGAACAAGACCCTGTGCCTGTGTCATCCCCTACTAGTGTTGTCGTCCCGCAGCATACACAGCCATCTCAACGCGCCCAGATCGGTAGCGTGCAGCAGGATAAGCAAGGTGCGTCGTCGCTGAGCCACGCCACCGGACTCGCTTCCAGCCCCGTGCCACATGGTCATAGCGCCGCGCCTGCCAGTGTAGCGTCAATGTGCACTGCTCTCCTCTCGGAGGCCGAGCTAGAGCAGGCTGACGACATAGATGCAGGAGAGTGTGTACATCGAGGACTGCGCACTACCACCACTGGCCAAACACGACCACCGCCACTGCTGCTAGAGTCTGCAGCCAAGCTAGCGCCAACGCCTGCTGACCCGCAGCCATCGCGCGTTGCTGGCCAGCAAAGTCATGTTATTGATAAGCCTGGAGCAGACGCCACCACCACCACTACCACCGCTGCTGGCTCAGCTAGTATACCGAGAACACGATACGAGCGTCCGAGGAACATTGCACAGAGGGGTATTTACCTTCTTTGGCAGAAGTTGTCCAGCGTGCTCCCGGCATGGCCTAGAGATGTGTTTAGAGCACAAGGTCATGATGTTCACCGCTCTGTGTCCAGTAAGGGTCGGGATCGCTCTGTGTCCAGTAAGGGTCGGGATCGCGGAGTGCCAGTCACCACCACGACCAATGCTGCTGCTGCTGCTGCTTTTGCGGCTGAGACGTATCACTCCCAGCGTTCTGCGGTTCAGTCCATCCCTGTTCTCACTGATGCCACGCTAGCGTCCACTGCCGACCTACAACCTGCTTCGTTTCAACCTAGCTCCGCGTTGAGTCCTGTGGCAGATGCCAGCACGCAGCAAGCTTCGCTTCAGCCCAAGTCTAGTCTGGGTGTTGTCGAGGAACTGTTCTCTTCCGAGCCACCCACACTGCCAGAGTTCATCGTGGAACCGTACGTGGATGATCTTACTGTGCCATTCGAGGACGAGACCGTCCTTGCGCTGTTTGCTGACGGCGACGACACGTTTGTCTCGAGCGCCTTCCAGCAGCTCGTCAGAGAGCTTGATGCACTGCCAGTGCTGCATTCCGCTGTTGAGCAAGCGTCCGCTTTGTCACGGGCAACAGAAGCAGCAGCTGCTGCTGCTGCTGCTGCTACAGAAACCGGCAAGAAAGCAAGAAAGAAGAAACATGCCGCCGGGTTTGTTGGTAGCACAGCGGCGGCGCTCCCGTTGGTGGAGCGAGAAACGGTTGGCGGTGTGGTGCGTGACGCCAGGCAGCAGCTTGACGACGGTGACGACGTGCACGATGCCGAGGACAACTTTGTGTTGACAGCGCTGTACGACCTGCGACACGACCTGCTCACCAACCCGCCCAAGCTGTCGTCTCGCCTGCGCACCGATCACGTCCTGTCTCTCTGGCAGTGTGGAGTGGTCATCGGCGAGCAAGAAGCCCGCATCGTGGACCAGCTCACCCGCAGCCAGTCTCTGTCGCCGTTGTGGATGCGCTATCGCCAGGAGCGCATCACCGCGTCCAACTTCGGAGTCGTGTGCCGCCGCAAGAGCACGCACGCGCCCGCCTCGCTCCTCTCCTGCATACTGGGACGCAACGTGAACAATGTGCCGTTGGAACGGTTCGACGGCTGGGCCATGCAGTGGGGCAAGGACAACGAGCACTTGGCCATTCGCAGGTACGAGCAGCTCTTTAAGCGCACGGTGCGTCCATCCGGCCTCGTCATCAACCCGGCGCTCTGCTGGCTCGGTGCCAGTCCTGACGGCCTGGTGTCGGATTTCAACGAGAGCGCTGGCCACCGTGGCCTGGTGGAGGTCAAGTGTCCGTACAAGTACCGGCATCAGCGCATCGAGAACGTCTGCACCGACAAGCTGCAGAGCCTGGAGATGGTCAACGGAGTGCCGACCTTGAAACGCAACCATCAGTACTACTACCAGATCATGGGCCAGCTGGCCGTCACCGAACGCCAGTGGTGCGACTATATCGTGTTCACGCGCCGCGACATTCACGTCGAGCGCATCTACTTCGACGAGGCGTTCTGGAGCGAAATGCTGGCGACACTGACCAATTTCTTCTTTAATCACATTGTCGAGCGCCTGCCCTATTGTGAGCACATGCCCGATTGTGATGATGCCACAATTGACGACGACAGCACAGAGCAACAGGAAGGCGAGCTCTGCACGCGCGGTACGCTGTGCCGCTAATTTCCAACGCCATCATCTTATTTGCTTGTAAGCTCTGCTAGGAATTGACATGGCAATGTGTCCACGCTGTCTCCAAGCCGGTCGCAAGAACGGCCATGCATTTAGATTGTCGCTGGACGACAAATTAAGTTCTGGAAAACTGGTACTAGCTCACTGGTCTACTGACAGAAGCAACGCCAGTTTGACATTTTTTTAAAGTGATCTATCCTTTCCTCTCCATCCACTGATTTAGGTATGCCACAGGCCGTTCTTTTTTCTTTTTCTTTTTTGGGTTTGTAGTCCAGCTGGTCTCCAAAATTCCTTCCTGAATCCGTTTTTATTCATTGAACTTATTTATTTGTGTGTTATTTATATTAGGATATGATGGTTCCACACATGTTAGGGGTGATGGATTTCTTTAGTGTTCTTTTTGAAATTTAAGTAGCTTATCTTATGGCTGCAGGTCGGCCCGACTAATGTCAGTTATCGAGAGCAATCTCTCTCTCTCTCTCTCTCTCTCTCTCTCTCTCTCTCTCTCTCTCTCTCTCTCTCTCTCTCTCTCTCTCTCTCTCTCTCTCTCTCTCTCTCTCTCTCTCTCTCTCTCTCTCTCTCTCTCTCTCTCTCTCTCTCTCTCTCTCTCTCTCTCTCTCTCTCTCTCTCTCTCTCTCTCTATTTTCTTTCTTTCTTTCTTTCTCTGCTTGTGTGTTTCTACATGTATGTCACCCTCTGTCTGAGAATACCAAAAGATGCAGTTTTTCCGTCTGCGTGTGGTCACGCCATGTAGAGTCGAGCCGTTTTGGATTCATAATTTTTTAGTTTGCCTGTGTTTATTTGCTAACAATCATCTCACTTGTCAGGCTCAGTTTCGGCTTTGCGTACCTCTTAACCCTGTTCCGCTTGATTAATCTTTGTCGCCTGTATCAGAATAGGTCAAAGACGTTATGCGTGGTGCGTGTGCATGTATACGTTCATGTGTGTGCGATCGGTACCCTGCATGGCGAGCACGCGCGCGTGTGTGTGTGTGTGGGGGGGGGGGGGGGATCGTTGGTGGGGCAGTACACTGCATGACGCGCGCGTGTGTGTGTGGGGGGTTCAACCGTAGCTGAGTAGTAGGTAACGAGCGGGTTCTGGGACAGGGGGCGCCCGGGTCCCAAAAAATGGGGTATTATTGAAAAATGGGGTACCCCCTTTTTTTGAGGTAGGGGCACCCCCTGGCACATATTTTTATCCGCAAAAAAACCGGGCCAAAAATAATTTTCACCGCAAAAATGGGGTACTATTAGTACCCCATTTTTCAATAATACCCCATTTTTTGGGACCCGGGCGCCCCCTGTCCCAGAACCCGCTCGTTACCTACTACTTAGCTGATTTGCGGGCCATGCTTCCCGTCTCTCTCTCTCTCTCTCTCTCTCTCTCTCTCTCTCTCTCTCTCTCCCTCTCTCCCTCACGAGGGGGCTGCTTGCCCAGTCGACTACTTATCTATAGGATGTACTCCTTGTCAGTCTGGTGCTACCTTGTGGTGCTACCTTGTGGTGCTACCTTGTGCACGTCTGACTGTTCCAAACCTGGTTTAGTGTGTGGACTCTAAAGCTATGTTCCCAACTGGCGCGTGGACGCGGTACGCTTGCGATTCATGCGTGCCCAAACGCGCGCTCAAGCTTTCACAAGAAACAGCAATCCGAGTCGTATTTAGCGCGTGCGACACCTTCGAGCACTAATTTTTTACCCCGCCAGTCAAAGTGACTGGCGTGTACGCTGGTACGCGCTGAAAATTCCAACATGTTGGAATTTCCATTTCGGCGCGTTTCCGTACGCATGGCGCCCCAAAAGCCAGCAAAAATACGCACAAGCGCATGGTTTCACGCGCACACGCGCCAATTGTGAACACAGCTTAACGCATAACTTGTGCCCCACTGTTTTCCTTGTTTCTACGTAAAGGGGAGGTTCACCCTAAAATGGGGAAGTTCACCCTAAAATGAAAACTTTACAGCCTGTGGCGAAAAATGCACTGATTCCAATGGTGAAGGTCCCGGGTTGATCCGAGCAGCCGTTCTGGAAGTATACCAGCTTGATGTTGGCACTAAATTTGGTGACATCATGAGGACGTTTTTAACTTGCCCAGACTCCAATAGGCCGGATTTATGACGTCAGAGACATAGACTTTGTATGGGAGTAGATGGGGATATTTCAGTATTTTGGCTCTCCGTTGTCCCAAAGAAGTCGGATCTTTTTCAAACTTCGGTATGGGACATATGGCACCCTACCGGTATCCTGACTGGAAAAAAAACATTCTAATATGAAATTCATTGTTGCAGAGAAACAAGAAAGAAATTGGTTTTTCACTGGCCAGAAAATGCCACTTCATAGCTGTGTGGTGACTGAATGATGCGGAGCATTGCCGACGGAACACCAAGTTTCTGACCAGGCTGAATAGTGGCGATTAATTCTTTAGCCTTGCAAGCTGTTGAACGGTGCACTCCCAGCACACGTTGCTATGGGTTCTGCTGTAGCATCGCTATCATCGCCTCTGGCGATAAGTGTCAAATGGTTTAAAGGGGAAGTTAAGGCAAAAATTAAAATTTCACCAGTTGTAGTCTTCGGGGTGCTGAGTCGAATGGTCTTGGTCCGAGAAAGCTGAGACGCTCCCTTCCTACTTGAATCCCAATCAAACTCGCGCACTTCCACCGAAACTGGGTGACTGCGCCCTACTAGATGGGGGTTTGTATGCAAAATGTCACTAAAAGCGCCATTTCGTTCTTATAGAAGGACGGATGACCGCGATTGGCCCATATGTTGTAGTCTTTTGGACGCTGAGTCAACTGGTTTTGGTCCGAAAAGGCTGCGATGTAGCGTTCCTCCTTTATTCCCAATCGAACATGGTTGAACAAGCGGTCACGTGCTCCTGGGTGCCCAAATCACCTGGTCACCACGCCATGCCGGCAGGCGACAACTTTCACACCAAGGTTCAACTCGAGTTCAACTCAAGTGACAGGACTGCACCCAAAAAAGGTCAAACAGGCTAGTAAGTTGTACCCTGCAGGCACCTGTGACCAGGTGACTGGCGTACGCAGGAGCACGTGACCGCTTGTTCAACCATGTTCGATTGGGAATAAAGGAGGAACGCTGCATCGCAGCCTTTTCGGACCAAAACCAAAATACTGAAATATCCCCATCTACTCCCATGCAAAGTCTAAAAGACTACAACATATGGGCCAATCGCGGTCATCCATGCTTTTATAAGAACGAAATGGCGCTTTTAGTGACATTTTGCATACAAACCCCCATCTAGTAGGGCGCAGTCACCCAGTTTCGGTGGAAGTGCGCGAGTTCAATTGGGATTAAAATAGGAAGGGAGCGTCTCAGCTTCCTCGGACCAAGACCATTCGACTCAGCACCCCGAAGACTACAACTGGTGAAATTTTGATTTTTGCCTTAACTTCCCCTTTAATGAAGTTGGTTGCTCCAACGAGGAGCACACGCTTCTTGCCGAACTTGACACTTGACTGACTCACGACTGCCATCCGGAGCACACGAGGAGCACGTCGAACCTTCCGCTCGGCAAACCTGAAAGAAAGCACCACTCCCTGCTCAATACACAGTGTTTCGGGGAATTCACCCCTCATCAGTTGAGCTTGAGTAGGCTGAGGAAGATTGTGCCTGAAAAGCACCACTTATATACTGCTCTCCAGGCCAAACCATCACCAGGGATACAAACTTACAGAGACGCTTTGTTTTCAGCGCGACAAACACCTCGTGAAGCCCCAGGTAGCAGCGTGAATCAGAGTCGCTCATGGAGTTGTGCTAAACAGACGTTGACAGCCAGTATAGCTATTCACAACGCTGTCACCTCCAACAACTAGTCGCACGTCCGCGTGAGGGACAACAATACGAACTTAGAAGTTGCGACTTCGGCGGTAATAGTCATGAAGTTGGTTGCTCCAACGAGGAGCACACGCTTCTTGCCGAACTTGACACTTGACTGACTCACGACTGCCGTCCGGAGCACACGAGGAGCACAAAGAGGCAAGAAGCGTGTGCTCCTCGTTGGAGCAACCAACTTCATGACTATTACCGCCGAAGTCGCAACTTCTAAGTTCCCCTTTAATGGTCAAAATATTTACTTAAATGATCAAATGGTGTTCATGCATGTCTGCTTGCGCTCGTGTGCATGTGTGTGTGTGTGTGTGTTTTCAAGTCCACCCAGAGTTTTGGGGACTTCAGGGGGTGTCGGCCGTTGGGCGGTTCAATAGCCAATTGAGTCATCTTTCCAAGATTCCTTTTGAGTCTCTCTCCCCTCTCCCAGGGAGACCCACGTGACCAGTTTTGGCAGTGAGCAATAAGTACAAGTACAAGTACAAGTGTGTGTGTTCTTGTGTTGTTCTTACAGGCCGCAACGAGAAAGGATAGTTCCCAGTTCTTTGGCGAGCCGATGTTCTTGACAGTGTCTGGTCAACTGGAATTGGAGATGATGGCCAAGTGAGTATTAGTATCCCAAGTGGGCCAAATGCTATATTTCTGGACTTAACCCTTTATGTACGGTGTGTACGTTAAAGGGGAAGTTAAGGCAAAAATTAAAATTTCACCAGTTGTAGTCTTCGGGGTGCTGAGTCGAATGGTCTTGGTCCGAGGAAGCTGAGACGCTCCCTTCCTACTTGAATCCCAATCGAACTCGCGCACTTCCACCGAAACTGGGTGACTGCGCCCTACGAGATGGGTATTTGTATGCAAAATGTCACTAAAAGCGCCATTTCGTTCTTATAAAAGCACGGATGACCGCGATTGGCCCATATGTTGTAGTCTTTGGGACGCTGAGTCGACTGGTTTTGGTCCGAAAAGGCTGCGATGCGGCGTTTTTCCTTAATTCCCAATCGAACATGGTTGAAGAAGCGGTCACGTGCTCCTGCGTACACCAGTCACCTGGTCACCGTGCCTGCAGGGTACAACTTACTAGCCTGTTTGACCTTTTTTGGGTGCAGTCCTGTCACTCGAGTTGAACCCGAGTTGAACCTTGGTGTGAAAGTTGTCACCTGCTGGCGTGGTGACCAGGTGATTTGGGCACCCAGGAGCACGTGACCGCTTCTTCAACCATGTTCGATTGGGAATAAAGGAGGAACGCTGCATCGCAGCCTTTTCGGACCAAAACCAGTCGACTCAGCGTCCCAAAGACTACAACATATGGGCCAATCGCGGTCATCCGTGCTTTTATAAGAACGAAATGGCGCTTTTAGTGACATTTTGCATACAAATCCCCATCTCGTAGGGCGCAGTCACCCAGTTTCGGTGGAAGTGCGCGAGTTCGATTGGGATTCAAGTAGGAAGGGAGCGTCTCAGCTTCCTCGGACCAAGACCATTCGACTCAGCACCCCGAAGACTACAACTGGT